GACAGCTTGTGTGCATCATTTTTACTCATTCTCAAGCATTCTGCTCCATAAAGAAGAACTGGCAAAATAATGCTCTTGTAGAGTCGAGGTTTCGTTCCTCTGCAGTAACTGTTGGATTTCCAGATTTGCCCCATCCTTCCAAAAGCAGCTCTAGCTTTGTTCAGGCGTGACTGTATGTTTTCCTCTGTCCCTCCCAGTAGGACACAACACTACCAAGATATGTGAAAAGTCCGGCCCCTTTAGAACCTGAACCCACGACCTCCCGATCCGCAGACGAGCGTCTAGAATACAATGGTGGCTCCCAGATATACAGTACAGTTTATTAAAATTAACTTCTCCTGTAATATAAGTTGTAAAGAAAGTTAACTGAAATTAAAGCCTGAGCTATCGTTTGCGTTGCCATCGCGTGTCTTAATTGTATCACCTTTTCCCACTTAAATGCGATATATTTCGAATGATTCAAATGGAAATATGGTTTTAAAAAAAAACACACATAAGGACTAGAGCTCAAAAGCGTCAGCATCGCCATGACCTGCCTGAATATGACCGCCTCTCCCTCTCGTCTCTTGTTGGGAACAGGAAGTGACGTGCCAGTCTTGCCTCCAGGAACAGAAGATTGTATCGGATTTCGTCTGTTTCCTCATTCTAGTTCAGGTCTCGGGCAGGCTACCACGGCTGGGGTGGAGTCGTTGTTCTTGGTGGATTATACATCTTTTACATCACCAATGCATAGAAACATCGATGCTTTGCAGTGTAGTAGGGTACGTAGTCTTATTTGCATGTTTTCTGTTCAGTGCACGGGTAATATCCTGCTGGTTTATTGAAATTGTGTCTCTAGCATGGGAAATAGGACAGGCTCGCACGCAAAGCCAAGTCAGATAGTGTGTGGAGCTAGCTAGTCGAGGGCCTAGAAGTCGTCGTTGCGCAGTACTAGCGGCCAATAAGAAAGGCATTTCGACTAGGCGGACGACGGGCAAGGCACGGCTTTATACTACGTCGTTTTATTCTCGTACTGTTGAGCTGGTTCTTCGTGGGGTCTGTCCCATTTATGAACCATTGCAAAAAATAGTTTTCCCGAAAAGAGAAAACTGAAAGATGTTTAGTTAGCGGTAAGTTTAGTTTAAGCTAGCAGACCGCGAGTTTTCCAAGGTTACCGCGTAACATTAACATATAAATTTATATATTATATGCAATTTCAATTTCAAACAGGATTCAGTATTTCAGGAGTGTTTGTGGATGAAACAAACATTTTTTGTAATGTAGGTTTTACGTAAGTAAAGTTGCCATAATTAAAGCTGTGTATAAGTAGAATAACACAGAGAGCAGTGTTCATATCTTTGGAGAACCTGTAGTTCTTACCTAGTGCTTAGTAAGTGATCTAAACTAAATTTAAGGAAAAATTAGTTGTAGCAAACTAGCCTAAAGCAGGTTTTAGCCTGTGAATTTGAGTGAACTAAGTAACCGACCACAGCTCTTAGCAAGCCACTTTACTTGGTTCTCAGCAAGTGTGACTGTCCCTTTGAGCGAATGTTTTTAAATTTGTTGGTAGAAAGGCAGAAATATATATTTTATTTGCAAAACTGCTGTATCTTTTTTTAAATATGACAAGCTAGTTAGTAGAAGTTGATGTTGATAGTAATAGTTGGGAAATCTTCTCCTTCTTCTTTGCGTTCGGTTTTGTATAAAATATATTCTAATTTAGCAATTAACACTGAGCAAATCTACTGTATATAGTATATGTGCCCATAGTTATTATGTGTGTGAGTTGTGAGTATAAAACTATATACCGTGACAGGCAATACTAAAACTTTCAGGAGCCACACACACACACACACACACACACACACATATACACACACACATATATATATATATATATATATATATATATATATATATATATATATATATATATATATATATATATATATATATATATGGAAGGAAGCAGGAGCCTGAAGACAACTTATCACAGACAGCAGAGAGAGACAGTCATAATTTTTCGGCCATGTTATGAGAAGAGGGAAAATAGAACATGTTGTGACCACTAGAACTGATACATGCTGCAGGAGATCGCAGATTGTGGAGAGGCATGATCGCCCATGCCAGTCGGCAAGGCACCTGATGATAATATATATGTATTTTGTGTATAAAATCAAGATGTGAAGGACATAACAAAAATGAATGCACCTAATCCTAACACATTTAATTTCATTTGTTTTTGTTTTTTTAAATCTTATGTTTAGGATGTTTACTTTATTGCTAGTATAAGTATAATTAATAATGTGTTGTGAAATGTTAAAACTAAGAGTATGATGCTTTAACATGGCTTGTTAAGACACTGAAAACAGAGAATAAAAATAGTTAGTATCAAGCAGCAGCCAGTGCTAAAAACAGTTTGAATTTGTCTCATAGGTTCTTCTAATATCCTTTTGATTCATCTACCTGTTGCATTTCCTTTTATGTTAACTCTTTCAGCATTTGTCTGTTATTTTAACTTATTCTCTCATAACCAGTAATTAATATCTTTAAATGATAAATATTAGTGTGCCTGAAGGAATTAAAATAATAATAGCCCTGTGGGGTTAAGAGGGTAAAGGAATAGCTATGATATCCTAAAGTCATGATGCCTTCTTTGTTATAGTGTGGTTAATTCCTTGTCTTGTATTATTTTAATTTCTGTAGACTCAGGCATTTATTAGAGAAAATCTTCTTCGCATTCATAGGCTGTAAACTCCGAAAGAAAATTTCTGGCTGTTCACCAACTTTGGACATTTGGTCTTGTTCCAGAACATGCATTTCATGTGCACATCTGTTTTACAGGTCATTTTTATGCAGACTGTTGGTTCCTCATCTCAGGCAGATGCACTCAACTTTGAAGGATAAACCCTAATTAGTCTACTTTTGCGACATGCTTGATGAGGAATGGGATGTGTCTGTTTTTTCTGGAACCCTCAAGGGAGGTTAGATTAAAATGACGGCTTACGAGTATGAGTTAAATAATGCCTGTCATGGACTAAAGAGTTGATAAGTCAACAAGCCTTTTGTGTGTGTGTGTGTGTAGCTTATGTGGAAACTGGATAATGTAAAATTTCATAGCAATTTTATTGATTCTTTTCTTTCACCCCCATCTCATGGAAGTGGGGTGGGGGGTGGGTAGGGTATTCTTTGGAAAGTTCAATAGTATAGGAGTGTTAGGGTGTGAAATGAACCCTGACTAATACTACCCTCCCCTTCCCCCAACCAATATTGGACTTTCCCGAGAATTCCCTTTGAAATCTCAGAGCTCCCGAGGCAAGGTGACATTAAAAAACAACTTTCTTGGTGCTCATTGAAAGCTAGATCTACTTGGAAGCTTCATTCAGTTTGAAAGAAAACTCTGTCTTGAGGATTTCCACACTTGATCTTAGGGAGAAGGCAGGTTTATGGTATTTCTAGAGCATGCAGCAAACAGTAGGTGGTCAGTATTCCAGCAGAAAGTTTTGGGGTGTCAGTTTTCAGAGGGTGTTAACTAGAAGTCCAGGTTAATCACCACATCTCTCCCTTCAAAGAGATGTGAACCCATGACTGCTAGTTGGCAGTGAAAAATTAGTAGTCACTGCACTTGTAACTTTTGTGATCCCGATATAAAATTCTTACCTTTCACATCATATTTAATTATTGGATGTATAGTAAAAATTGTAGTTGAAATAATGTTTATAAACTTTCAATGGCGGTTCTGATCTTATAGATACGTTTTGAACTTTGTAATGGCAGGAGAAAATGGAATACCCTTTATTAAAAAATGAGACATTTGAACAATGAGTTCATGTGCATTAAGGTAAAATAATAAATGGGGGTCTGTATGACAAAGTGGTCAAATCATTTGCCTCACCTAAAGGTCATCTGGTCATTTTTTAACTGCAGCCTTCACAAATGTTTTTAAAATACCACTGGGGATTGTCGCCGGGGTTACGGTATTCATAGTATGTACACCGCTCTCAGCAGAAGGGCAGTCATTCTGCATAAAACCTGATGCAATCAAGTTGATTGCCACATCTTTAATTTTTCTCGATACGTGTGTATTTAGAAACATTCTTTTGTTATTTATGATATCGAGGTTCCCTGGTGGATTCCAGGCCACATTATTGGAGAAAAAAATTAGACCTGCTGCCCCCCTAACAATCTTGTCGTAAGATTAGTGGGGGGGGGGGGGGGGGGGGCTCCCTTTGAGTTCAGAGTACATCTGTCTGTGAGGTCAGGAACCAGAAGATATGCTAAATCTGTAACACGGATGTGCATGCAAAACTCAAGTTGTGGAACTGGTTGAATTGTTTCAGTTTACGGCATGGTGCTGCTGCTTAGGAGCCAGTTTTCTTAAGTGTTTAGATTTTGTGGAATATTGTAGTTTTTCTTTATCAGTGATGTTCAGGGCAATTCAACTGGTGGTCCACGGACCAGTTGTGGCCCAATGAACATTGCCAGTTGTATTGTATTAATAATCTTTCTGTGCTCACGGATCAGATGTCCGAGATGTTAAGATGCGCATTTTCAACATTTTGGCCCCAGAGTAAACAGTTGAATAGCCCTGTTCTAGAAGATATTTTTACAACACTCAAGTTAGAAAGGCTCATTATCATAGCCCCATTTGCCAGCTATGAACTACACAGTTGTTCGTCCATGTCTGGAGGTTGGTCTTGTTTCAGGACAAGTGTTAATCCATTTTACATATATAGTTTTGTGTGTGCGCATGCATACCGTTGGTTCCTTGCCTCAGAGGACGTTACACTCTGAATGAAATGTTGATCCTATCTCCATTGGCCAGGCACCCAGTAGGGAACTTGTTCCTAGGATTGATCCTTAGAGAGGTGTAAATAAGTCTAAGCTGGTTTGAGCTATGGTCCTGGTTCACCAATGCATCTGTAGTGTGTTAACAAAAGTGTCTGGTGGTCATAGATGAAAATAATTTTCAAGCAAACTTATTGTTTGTTTTCAGGTCAAATCAATAGGTTGTGTGGATTATGCCAGTAGAGTCATCGCAGGACACGCCATTTGTGCAGTATCATCCCAGCCGCCACCACCACCACCATCATTTCCTGCCATGCTACGCTGATGATTTAGACCTTGTGTCAAGACCAGATGACCTGTGTCTCACAACTACAGGAGAACGTATTTCTGCTTCGGCTGCAACAGCTGCTTTGACACTTGAAAGCAACGACAGTCTTATCAGTACCCATAGTCCACCACTGATAAACTTAAGCCCCAACCTCAGCCCGTCTTCAGAGTCGCGGTTTTCACCATTTTATGATTTTAGAGAGACTACCCGCAGACGGAGTGCCCAAGGTGAGTTCATCTTGAAATGTTTGTATTTCTTTTTGGTCTTCACGTTAACCGTCTATAAACTCTGACATAAAGTTTTGGTTGTTCGTCCACTTTTTGACTCTGTTACATTTACAGAACTTGAGGTTTGCATGCACACGTTTTACAGATCTTATGTTTTTTGCATGCAGACTGTTGGTTCATTGCCTTTTAGGCAGATTCACTCTGACTTCAAAGGATTGTTTTTGAGCAGTCTTCTTTTTTCCTTGTTATGTTTCTTTATCATCTTTGTTTACCATTAAAAGAGCAGTTGGTACGTTCTGGTTTACAGCTAGGCTGCTGTAACTGCCTTTGGCCAAACACTTCTGATTTCATCAAGCCCTTATTTAGTCACCTTTTACTGTGCTGTTGAGGAGCTGAGTTTGTTTTTTCTCCCAAAAATGGGGCTCTGGAACACACACAGGGAATGAACACAGTACATGGTGAACCTAGTATATAAGCACCTAGATCCAGTAATAATAATCAGTGCAATAATACTATTAACAATGTTAAACATGTGTAATTCTGTGCATAACATGAGCAAAATTGTTGAAGAATTTTTGTGTTGTTTGTGGCTTTTTTTGCACAGTATTAAATGCAGTTGGCACAAACAGTACTCTCAAAGATTAGGTTTCAAAAAGTATATTTTAGATTATATACGTTCAATTAACTATGTTACTGTTTGTTCTGTGAAAGTTACTACGGGGTTTTAAAATATTTTTGGGGCGGCATTGTTTATCAGTAGCATATAATATTTTATGGAGAAGCTTGATATTTAACATTTGATTCTTAAGAAAAATATTTTGATGGCAATACAAGATCATCATCATCATAAACCACTTCTGCCGTTAAGCCTCGTGGGGAGGAATAATTTGCGATCCAGTGCACTTTGGCTGCCACTGGTTATTATCATGCTGTGAAGGCCTAGAGTGTCTTTAATACAAGATCACAAATACCTAAAGTATTGGAAAGGGTAGGTGTCACAACAGTTTGTTTCTGTGCTCAGTCTTTCAAGCCTAGGATACACATTGAGGATGGTAGAGTCCCCAAAGAAACCATCTGTGATAAATTGCTGTTGAGTAGATACAGAGGTTGAACTCTACTGTGGTATAAAGACGTATGCAGTCAGGTCATGAATGATACAGGTATTGCGGTAGATTCAAAGTGATAGGATGTCGTGACCTTTATTGTATAGAGGATGGAAAGTCAGGAAGGAACTATGAAAATGATCAAAAACATCCTATGGTAACAATGGACCTGAAATCCAGATGTACTAATTGTGGAAGACTTCTTTATGTGAGCAGGTCTTGCCGTCGTCATCAGTGGTGTTTACCTTGCTTTTTTTAAACTCAGTATAACAGTATTTTCTGAAAAGTGGTTAGGGACCAATGGATGTATGTTTCAAGTGGTTATTTTAGTTGGTTGAGGGCCTAGCCTCTGTTGGGAAATAATGTGACAGAAGATGAAGACACTTCTCTCTTTGCTTAGCATTTCACTCCAGTTTTGTGATATTTGCTCTCATTCTTGCACATGGCCAAGGTGTTAGAGACGCCCATGTCACATCTTCGGGTCTTTGGTTTGTTGTATAAGATAACAAATCTTAGGGATCTGAGGTAAGGTATTCTAGTTTCTACATTGGCAGCTGTTTGGGCACTCCCACGTCAGTTTTACAAATCCTTTAGTAAAAGGCCTTTTCCCCTTCACTGTTCAATAATTACCCATTTCTCCTTATCACATTCAGTGATTTTTGTCATTGTTACTACAAGCTATTCCATTCAACAGTGGAATGTGTACTACTTCTTCATTCACCGGCTGTAAGCTGGGGTGGAAAGTCCTGGTTGTTCATCCATTTGGATTTTAGCTTTGTGCCAGGCCCTGTGTTTTGCTTGTACATCTTTTAGTGGCTTTTTTGTGTGCGGTTGATTGTTCCTTGCCACTCGGTCAGATGCACTCTGACTTCAAAGGAAGTCCCTAGTTAGCCTCAGAAACCACACGGGATGGAATGTATACAGAATTTTCAGTCTCGCGGGGAAACCTATAGGCTACTGTAAAAAGGATAAACTTGCATTCATGAGCATTATTAGTCACTCAAAGGGCAGCTGCTTAGGTCTCGAGGCATGGTGCCGGCCTCGAGTGTTAAAAGTCCCGGGTTCTAGCCCCGGTGTGTTGGGATTTTTTGACGTGGACTTTAGTAATTCCTACCTGGTCTCTGGGTAGTAAGGACAGACTGTCTATTGTTCCCCAAGTAAAAAATCCCTTGGCAGTTGGAAATCGAAAAGAGTAGCCTTACGGCGCTCCCGGGCACCCAGAGTTTAACATCTAATCAAAAGTATTTCTGGATCCTCGTCGGTGCAACAGAGTTTGTGCACTGCGCTGAGATTCTTCGGACTCAGGCTTGAGATACACCGAGCGCTAGTTGGTCTTGAGATACACTGTGCTGGTTGGTCTATAAACATTAAGTCTAGCACTATATGCCCAATACGCCTGGAGATGTGGAAAAGGATCCTTTTCATTATAATAGCAAGACTTTTCTGCAGGCTGATTCTAGGTTCTTATTTGCTCGGTTCTTTCCTGACCTTAAAACAAATTAAAAAAATAAACCCCGTAAAAGTCTGTTTACTGTCTGGATTTCTCTTTAAAGCCACTCCAGCCTGAGCCAGCTTTGTTGAATCTCTCGGGGAATCAGTATTTCTGGCTGTTTGTCAACTTCTGGCTCTTTCTTGCCATCACACAGTCGACTCCTGGCTGTGGGAGAGGGTCACTGGCGTTACGCGTAGCTTCGGCTTTTCGGTCCTGTTTACGTTTCCCGGTCCATCTACACATGACCTAACCTATAATTCTTACCTTCTCCACGGCCTTCTCTATGTATACAGAAGGACCTGCTGTCTCAGACTCGTCTACGTCGGAGGGTTGTCACATTGTCTGTCCTCCATTTACATCAGCGCCGATGTTACGTGTTCAAAACTTCACGACGACACATCTTCCGACGACCCCAGAACATGTAGAACTGGCCCAAACCTTGAAAACCCCTATCCAAAGCCTCAATATAGGTCACACGAACGACTCTTTTCGAAGAAAGCAGTACAACGTGATACCCCTCTGACCTTGATCACACTGAGAAGGTGTGTAGAGGGGCCGGGAAACGTGAACAGGTCTGGGTTTTCTGTAGTTGTGAATAGTTTGCTCATTGGCGGTGTCAGGTCATGTTGTTCTGACAGAAGGCTTCCTAATCATACCGTCTCCACAGTGAAAGTAGGCTGCAGTGGGTATCGCATCTCTGCGGTGCGACTCTCATACCACTGTGCGAAAACAGATATCACATGCTGCTGTCTATCTGAATTCTCTCTACTCTGCACCAGTTACATATGTTTGTAGTTCAGTAGTAATTGTTTTATTTCTCCTTGTTTCCGCCCCATATCCCAATTCGTTGATTGAACTAGTTGTCTATACCCCCCCCCCCCTTTCCCAAAAGTACTGTCATGCCCACGTCAGACTACGGTCAGCCAGCCCCAGAATCCAGCCTGCTGTATACGTTCTCAGCTATAGACGAGGGAATTTCTCTTCTAAACAAATGTTAATTCTGGGTTTCCCCCAGATATCCAGCCATGACTGTTGGGCACGATAACGGAGGTTACCAGCCCGTCTGGCTGGCCGACTTGCAGCGGCGTCTCTTAGGAGCCAGCTAACCCGAGTCAGTCAACAGTTAGGACCAACAGTACCCAGCCGTTGTTCTGTTCTGTGTGGATGGGGCGCGAGCTAGAGGAGTGTTACTATGTTCTGTCTGCCTGACACGGGAGCTGCTTGCCGTGTTCTGACTTCTGTATGTGTATTTTAATGTGTAGCTCATCACTACCATCGTGCTTCTTTTCCTTACTTTGCCATTTGTGTGTGGTGTTAAACATAAAAGAAAACAGCCGTTGTCTGCGAATAGGTTTGTTGATGTGTGGTTGTCAGGCACAGTTCTCCCCCCCCCCCCCTTTCATTAACCTGCTGCCGTGTTCATCCCGCTTTAGCGTCTTTTGCGTTGTATTTGTGCTGTCCCACCCCCTTCTCATTTATTTGCCTTCATTGGCTCCCATATCCACTCTATCTCTCTCTCTCTCTCTCTCTCTCTCTCTCTCTCTCTCTCTCTCTCTCTCTCTCTCTCTCTCTGGCTGACTCACATATAAGTTCCATTTCCTGTCCCGTCATTACCGACTTTCCTTCCCACCCCCTACCCTTCTCTCGCTTTCTGACCCGTAATAAGCCAGCGTCGTGCTGTGTGGACCTGTCACTTCTGTGTGTGTTAACATAAACTAGACGCTAGTCCTGGTTTGCGTTGTGTTCTTCACAGTAAACGTATCATTACACAAACTAGACGTTAGGTCTGGGATGTTTTCTGTGAACTTATCTGTGTTTATTGTCTCTGCAGGCTCTCTCTTAACCACTAACGGGTTTAGCTGCTTTCATTCTTTCCATTTTTTTGGGTTATAATTGCTTACAGATTCATTACCCTAACCAACCACATAGAAGGCATAACTGACAAAGGTGTGACTGTTGAATATGTAACAAATATTGCATTAGTATTCCATGTGGAGGCCCAATAGCGTGAGGGGCTTGGACCCATTGAAACTTATCAAGCAAATAATTAAGATTGCTGAACTCGGACGTTGGACCGAAATGCGCAGATAGTGCAGCCCCTAAATAAGTGAGGGGGGGGGGGGGCTTGGACCCATTGCCACTTATCAAGCAAATAATTAAGATTGCTGAACTCAAACTTTGGATCGAAAGGCACAGATCTTGCAGCCTAGCTTACCACTACATAGGCCCCGTGGGTGTCTATGGTCCAGAGGAAGAGAAAAACACCAGCACTGTAACTTTTCTGATGTGTGTGTCTTTCTGTTATGTCTGTATATTTTTGATGCCAAACTTCTTCAGTTACATTTTGTGTTCCTTCACTTACTCTAACCTCCCTGCATGAGTTCCTTGACCTCTGGTGGTGGGGGGGGGGGGGGTGAATAGACTCACTGTACCCTAATAGTGGCCCAACCGTCAACTGATTAGGCGTGTTTCCTTCCAAGTCAGTGTACACCTGCTTGAGAGGCTAGAAACAACAGTCTGCATACAACGAAGCAAGATCTATAAAAACGGTTATGCACTCTAAACTCAAGTTCTTGAACAATAACATAAAGTCCAGAGGTTGAACTTTCAGCCGGTGGACAAGAAGAAGAAGAAGAATCATTTATTCTAATCTGTCATGCATGTCCTAATAGATGACAAAGAAAGGTTGACCTTAAATTAACCCCTGCATCCCGAAGTTAACTTGTACATCGCATAGCTACAAAGTCCAATACGTCTACATACAGGAAGCTAAGCGTATGTTGGTCGAAGTCATAGGCTTCAGTTGGAGATCCGATTCGATGCTTTGCCTAAAAACCTTGTCACTTTCAACCAGCATCCCCGAAGGGGCAGCTTTAGGTTATAATTGTGACTAGGTTATTTGCGGCATATAAAATGGCTTAGTATTTCTCGCTAGAAAGTAGCCCTGACTCTTGCAGTGTTGATTCGATCAAAGAAGACAGTCCCGACCGGCGACGAAGTCGTCTACCAGCCAGCCAATGAACGACCCGGTAGCTGATGATGCAGTTAGAGATGCAAGCGAATATATTTTAGTTGTTAATCCTGTTAGGCTCAGCTTTCTGTCACCGCCTGCGCTCAATGTCCCACACCCATTATAGATCATGTGTTGAAGCAGTGCAGAGCCATAGCTGGTCGATGCAACCCAGTTTGCACATCATCCCTAAATCCTCTTGTTGAGATGGTTTTTGTCAAAAATTACCATACATTTGCACTGTACGTTACCCACCAGTTTTAGGATGGTCCCAGTTGTCGCAGTATAGAATAAACCGTAGCGCCGAATGTTGGCTAGCTTGTTAATGAATAAGTTTCAACGAAATTCTGTGTGGCGTTAGAGTGTGGTTGCTGATTGTTCTTTGTTGTTTTGATAACTCCCCCAACCCCATTTATCTCTCTCTCTCTCTCTCTCTCTCTCTCTCTCTCTCTCTCTCTCTCTCTCTCTCTCTCTCTCTCTCTCTCTCTCTCTCTATGTCTCTGCAAAAGTGCTCGCCAATAAAGAATTGTAGTTTCCATCCCCCACACCCCACGCTCTTTGACTATCCCAGAACCGCCCACGTGTTTAAAAAAACTGTCCCCCTTGTCATCTTTATTTAATGATTGCTCTCTCTCTCTGTCTGTCTGTCTCTCTCTGTGTGTGTCTCTCTCTGTGTCTCTCTCCCCTGTTTCTATGTTTGTCTGTCTCTCTCTCTCTCTCTCTCTCTCTCTCTGTCTCTCTCTGTCTGTCTGTCTCTCTCTGTCTGTCTGTTTCTCTCTGTCTGTCTGTCTCTCTCTCTCTCCTCTCTCTGTCTGTCTGCCTGTCTCTCTCTCTCTGTCTCTCTCTCTCTCCTCTCTCTGTCTGTCTCTCTCTCTCTCTCTCTCTCTCTCTCTCTCTCTCTCTCTCTCATAGCGCTGAGTATATATCGTTGCCTATTGTCGAGTTGATACTGCATATTCCGTTGGAGCTTACAACCAGCGAGCAATATATAACGCTAAACAGCATAAATACTTAGTTAATAAATTGAATTATCGCAATTCATATTCAGAGCAGATTGATAATTGTGTTCTGTGGTTGTAGAGTGTTCTGTCCACATGATTGCCAGTTTGTTGTTCATATTGCTGTGTATTTAGTTTGTGGGTCATTGGACTGTAATGGCCACAACTGTCTTGTGATGGGGAGAAAAGACCACATTGATTTTGCTTACACCTTAAGATTGAAAACTCGCAATCTCATACCAGAAAAAACAAAGTCCAAGAATAGAGCTAGAGCTGTTTATTAGATCCACTGCTAGTTTATGTTTGTTATTTTTAAATTAGGTGCATTTTTAGCTTAAAGGTACAAGTAGAGTCAACCTAGTCAAGTTATATAGAGGTGCTAGCGTCAGTTGGTTGAGGGCTTATTTTGCATTGGGAAATCTTCTTCGCGTTCACCAGTTGTAAATTCAGGCGGAAAGTTCTGGTTGCTAGCCCATCTCCGGACTTTAGTCGTGTCCCAGAACCTGAGCGTTACGTGCAAATCCGTTTTACAAACGTGACTTATCTGGATGCAGATTGTTGGTTCCTTGGTATTCAGGCAGATGCACTCCAACTTTGAAGGAAGCTGTCATTCAGTCAGCTCTTCCACATGCTTGTTTGAGAGGCAGTGTGTCTGTTCTTGTTTCCCCCATGATGGTGTTCCAGAACTCACACAGTGACATTGGGAGATAAAAGTCCCTGAAAGAAGAAAACAATCTTACAGTGGATTAGATCTTGGATCCCATGATGCTTGAAAGCCTTATCCTACTTACCTGCAGCCTATCATTGGTGCATAATCTATTTAAGGCTAATTTGGAGAAACTTTGGAGTTTATACTTACTGAGCCTTTCCTTGTTTTTCCACAGATCCTCATAGCAGTAACTACCCAATGCAACACTCTCCTCAGGTGATATCTGGATACATTACTGTTGAAGACTCAGGGAGGAAGGTATGTGTTGTCTAGTGTTGTGCATGTTCATGTCATATATGAAAGCAGCACTGAATTGCATATTTGTATTTGGCAGACTCCTTAAATTTGTTACATCATATAGCATATCTTCTTCTTCTTCTTCTTCGCGTTCACCAGCTGTAAACTCTGGCGGAAAGTTCTGGTTGCTCGTCCACTACTGAACTGCAGTCCTGCTCCAGAACCTGAGTGTTGCGTGTGCATCAGTTTTACAGATCTTATTCTCTTGAATACAGACTGTTGGTTCCTTGCCTCTCCGGCAGATGCGCTCCGACTTCAAAGGAAGCTCCCCAATTATTCGACTCTTACGTCATGCTTTTGGGATGGCAGTGGGTCTATTCTTGTTTTCCCTACAATGGGGCCCCGGAACCCACACGGTGATACAAGGTGTCTAGGGCTAGATGTAACGGGGGTGTAACGGCTAGATGCTCACCTGCAGATCAGAAGTTCCTTTGTTCAGGTCCTGACAGTAACGGACTTATTTCAAAAAAAGACCTTGGCCCCAGGGTCCACCCAGCTCTGAATTGGTACTTGGCAGAGTCCTGGGAAGTATAGGGGGCTGACCACATGATCAAAACAGTGTCGATGTGTCTGTGAAATAGAGTCCAGCCCTATATGCCTAAAGGTGAGAGAAGGGGTCCTTAACTAGGTAATTATGTCATGAATGCTAGTAACTTAAATAGGAATGGTTGAACAGTAAGTCTTAGAGTAGGTTAGTTACAGGACGTTGCAGAACCAACCCCAACAGCCCCTGGCTGTTGTGTGGTTTTTCTAGGCAAATTTACGTCCAGTAGTTTGCCATTGCTTTCTGGATGGTCAGCTTTCTTGATACCACTGTCGAAACCAACGCAAGGCGCATGGCCCGCAGCTGGGATCGAACCCGGCATCCCAGCATTACGAAGCGTTTGCATCGACTTAGCCACAGAGCCGACAGTCTTAGAGTACACTGTATAAATTTGGTGATTCATTGCCAGGTGTAGATGATAAAAGATGATACTTCCATCCCTTGGTTTGTTGCTGCACATATGACCTGCCTTCATTCATCTAAGTAACTGACCTTTTAATTTTAGTTGGTGACACTGCCTATATATCTTTCCACCATCTCCTGGGTCTACCTTTGGTCTACTCCCATTTATCTTGTGTGTACACAAGTTTTTGTCTCCGCTGTCTGACATTTTCTATAAATGCTGCAACTATGTGGCCTTTAAGTCCTCAGTGATGCCACTAATTGATTGAAACAGGTTATGAATCATTATTTATAGACCCATCTATGGCTGATATTTGTCATGCCGGGATGACGGGTTCGATCCCAACTGCGAGCCATGAGCCTTGGGTTGGTTTCGACAGTGGTATCAAGAAAGCATCCAGAAAGCAATGGCAAACTACTGGACGCAAATTTGCCTAGAAAAACCACACAACAGCCAGCGGCTGTTGGGGTTGGTTCTGCAACGTCCTGTAAAGGATACGCTACTAACCTATGGCCGATAATTGCAGAATGTAGATATCAGTGTGGCAATGGTTGAACATTGCTACAGGTAGTTTATTGTGCAGGTGGATGATTATGTTGCATTCAGTCTGCCGGTTTGTTTACTGGTGGCAGCCCTGTTATTGAAGAGTTTGATTTCTCCTCCAGGCATCTTCAGACTCAAGAGCACAATAAAACTGTTTTTGTGTAACCATCTTCAGACTCAAGCTTGAGTTAAAAGTAGAATGGAGCACTACCCTTACTACCCTTGTGCCATGATGTTGATACGTTGTCCAAACCAAACCATTGCCGCGGCACTCATTGCATACGCTTGCGGCACCCAGTTTGAGAACCTCTGATTTATTTTTAGCACATCAGTAAATGAAGCACGCAATTTGTTGGAAGGATTAGGAACACCAGTACAGACTGTTACTCGCACATCAGTGATTCGCCATTCGTAATAATAGTGTTTATAATTGTTGATGGACGTGCATTATCCTGAGTTATAAATTTGCTTGTCATTTATTTTTGCTGCAACGGACGAGGCATTTTCCTTGCGTGCTTTGAAAACAAAAATGTGCTGTTGTATTGTCAAACTTATTTTCCTGTCATCTGTGGTAACTAACGGTCGTTTGGCAGCCTTTACTGGCTAAATTAGGGCAACTTTGAGCACGATAGGGTGGGGTGGTAGAGGATGCGGGGAGTAACAGCCTAGTTGCCAGATGTTACTTGTGTGCGCCTATGTGTGACACCGAGAACAAATACAGGAAGCTAATGCGTGGAAATCTGTCGCATGTGGTAAGCGGATTCAGTTGAGAGACGTCCAGTGAACATCACGCTACTGCAGTTCATTGACTGCTTCTCTCTTTTCTGCCTTTGCACGCATTGATTATTGTTGCTCTTAGCCTCTCTCTCTCCCCCCCCTCTCTCTCTCTCTCTCTCTCTCTCTCTCTCTCTCTCTCTCTCTCTCTCTCTCTCTCTCTCTCAAGCCGTCCTCTATTTAATCCAGATACATAACCTGCTTTAAGAATGCGAAACATGCGACTGCTACTCCGATCCGAAGCTCATCCTCAACGCTTTCCATTTCCCTGGAGTTCTCTAGGCTGCAATGCACGCGTGAAAAGTGTGTTTCTTTTCTGTACATCAGGCTTTAACGGTGTCACTCTCACTTCTCTTTCTCCCATTAGTTCGCTTCTCTGTCGCTCTGCCCTCTCCCATTCTCTTCTGCACAGCGTGGTTATCGACTGGGTCATTGTCTGCCTCTCAGCTCGACCCACGGCCGAATACACCATTGATTATTCTTTCTCAGCTTCAACCAGTCTTCCTTTCCACGTCTGCAGCCTCCACTTTCTGGCTGTTAACTTCACATCCAGCCGTGTCTGTCATTCCTTTGTTTTATTCCTTCCCCACTCCTCATCCTGCACAGCTTCGTTTGTGATCTCTTTAATCGGTAGTCGAGCACGTTCACGGACACACCAACGCACAAACATGTGACGTTATCTTATTATTCTTCGTCTGCATTCTGGGTTATTGGACTATAGTACTAATGCGAGGGATTTGGTGTGGATGGTGGTGGGGCATTCAGGGAAAGAATTCGACTTCTGGGGCTTTAGACTTGAGACGAGCGCTGGTTGAGGACATGAGCTGCAGCAGAGCCCTAGTTAGGGTGTCGACAGTTTTAGTTCTTTATCCCGCTGTGTTCCCTGTGATTTTCTCTCCTCATTTCTTCCTCGCTCTCCCTTTCCTATCCCCACATAGCCTGTTTAGCTTTTAGTTTCTCATTTTGCAAAAGTGCAGTGGTGGTGGTGGTGCAGTAGTTACTCTGGCTTGTATGTCTATATATTGATTCGGGGTTCAGTCCTCGGTGTTGGTTGAAGCCCCTCCCTTTCCTCTAGGGCAGAGGTTCCCAGCCTTCCGAATGCCACGACCCTTTAAAACAATTCCTCACTTTATGGTGACCCCAAACCATACAAACTTTTCGCTGCTACTTCAGAACTTCTGTGAATATGTGTTCTTCAATGTCTAAGACGACCCCTGTAAATAAAAGGGTCGCGACGAACAGGTTGAGAACCTCTGCTCTAGGATTAGGTCAGTAGTTGGGTGAGTAGGAGATATAGGTGCGGATAGGAGAGGACACCAGCCTATCATTCGTAGCCAGGCAGGCAGTTGGTTAGTTATAACGTGATTTCAATAGTATGTTTTGAATAAACCTGAAGCTTTCGAGATTATGATTGCAGATTTATAATTCCGACATCCTGGGTTCGATTCAGCTGCAGAAGATTTAAGAGCAGACCGCCTTACGTTGCTTTTGACAACAGCATGAGCGTCGAATCGTTCAGAAACCAGCGATAAATTACCGAACGTAAAATTACCTAGAAGACATACAATCACCGACAGATATACCGATTTTGCACACACACCGCCGGTATCTGTCTAAAAAAAAAAAATGTTTCAGAAAATACACAGCAAGTAAATGCAGTTTTAATCCATATGGAGTAGTGTTTGCTATGTGAATTTTCACACTGGCTTCCTAGAAAGGGGGTCTAAACTTTAATAAAGTGCTGAACCCTGAAGGGAGCGTTGATGAGAGACTGGTGAAGAAAGTGCTATTGAACCAACATAATATACTGCTGAAACATACAGGAGTGCCTTGACATCAATTTCTTTGTCTCGTTAAGTTTTCTTAAACCTGTCTCTGTCTCTATCTCTCCCTCTGTCTTGTTAGCATTTATTGCTTGCATCTTCTCTCGCTCGGTTATATCACTTCCCCCTTTATAAGTTTCTTATGACCACATATTCCTTGTGGGGAATAAGAAAATGGGAGGTGAGGGTGTGTTAATAGGGTTTATAGATTTAAGGCAGCCGGTAGAGTAAAGAAAGTGAAGTCTGTGCACAACACATGAACTTTGTCGCGCTTCGGGCCGGCCAGGGTTTTCACCCGGAAGACACTGCAGCTGGTGCCATTGATTTGCCAGCGTGGCCTTTGTAGGTCAGTAATTATATACATTATGGCGTGTGTGGGCTGAGTGAACATAATGCCTGTTTATAGCAGAAATAATTATAATTGTTAAGCAAACGTTTGCAAAATAAATTTTAGTAGAAAAAAAAATGTCTAATTACTTGGAGCAGGGGGAGAGGGAGGGTAAAAAAAAAGGGGAAAAAGGGGGGGGGGGGGGGGCGCTGCGGATGCCGGAAAATTGACTTCAGATATAAAGGTTTGAAAGATCCTGAATGGAGAAGCAGAGCTGAATGGATCATAGTCGTTAGGATTACCATTTAGAGGAACACTTTCACGTGGGGGGGGGGGGGGGGGGGGGTAAGCCGCCGTCGTGTTGTAGCGGCCAGACGCTCGCCTACGTATCCTAAACTCGTGGGTTCAGGTTTTGATGGAGCCGAGCTTGTTTCTACAAAAACCTTGGCCTCCCAGGTTGCTGAGAGCCCATTGATCTGTAAATTATTTAGGTCTAGCCCGATGTAGTCCAGTGCGCCCGAACGTGGGGGTGGGGGTAAGGACCCT